CTGTTCCAACACCTGAGGCAACAACCACACCTGCCCGGACAACAACTGAAGCAACAATGACATCTCCAACAACTGAAGCAACACCTGCTCCAACAACGACACCTGCCGCGACAACAACTGAATCAACAACGACATCTTCCCCAACAACTAAAGCAACGACACCTACTGCAATAACTGAGGTGACAACGACACCTGTTCCAACACCTGAGGCAACAAACACATCTGCCCTCACAACAACTGATGCCACAACGACACCTGCTCCAACAAGTGAAGCAACAACGACACCTGCTCCAACAACTGGGAAAACAACGACACCTGCTTCAACAACTGAAGCAACGACGCCTGTTCCAACAACTGAAAAAACAACAACACCTGCTTCAACAACTGAAGCAACGAACCCTGCCCCAACAACAACTGAAGCAACAACAACAGCTGCCCTCACAACAACTGATGCCACAACGATATCTGCTCCAACAACTGAAGCAACGACACCTGCTCCAACAACTAAGAAAACAATGACACCTGCTTCAACAACTGAAGGAACAACGACACCTGCTCCAACAACTGAGGGAACACCAACACCTGCTACAAAAACTGAGGCAACAACGACACCTGCTCCAACAACTGAAAGAACAACAACACCCACTCCAACAACTGAGGCAACAACGACACCTACTCCAACAACTGAACCAACAACGACACCTGCTCCAACAACTGATGCAACGACACCTGCTCCAACAACTGAGTCAACAACGACAACTGCTCCAACAACTGAGGCAACAACGACACCTGCTCCAACAACTGAGGCAACAACGACACCTGCTCCAACAACTGGGGCAAAAACGACACCTGCTCCAACAACTGAAGCAACAACGACACATGCTCCAACAACTGAGGCAACAACGACACCTGCTCCAACAACGACACCTGCCGCGACAACAAATGAAGCAACAACGACATCTTCCCCAACAACTAAAGCAACGACACCTACTGCAATAACTGAGGTGACAATGACACCTGTTCCAACACCTGAGGCAACAACCACACCTGCCCGGACAACAACTGAAGCAACAATGACATCTCCAACAACTGAAGCAACACCTGCTCCAACAACGACACCTGCCGCGACAACAACTGAATCAACAACGACATCTTCCCCAACAACTAAAGCAACGACACCTACTGCAATAACTGAGGTGACAACGACACCTGTTCCAACACCTGAGGCAACAAACACATCTGCCCAGACAACAACTGAAGCAACGACACCTACTCCAAAAACTGCTTCAAAAATGACACCTGCCCCAACAACAACTGAAGTAACAACAACATCTTCCCCAACAATTGAAGCAACAACGACACCTGCTCCAACAGCTGAAGCAACAACCACACCTGCCCTGACAACAACTGAAGCAACAACGACATCTTCTCCATCAACCGAAGCAACGACACCTGCCCCGAAAACAACTGAAGCAACAAAACCTGCTCCAACAACGACACCTCCCGCGACAACAACTGAAGCAACGACACCTGCTCAAACAACGACAACTGTCCTCACAACAACTGAAGCAACGACACCTACTCCAACAACTGCTTCAAAAACGACACCTGCCCCAACAACAACTGAAGTAACAACGACATCTTCCCCAACAATTGAAGCAACAACGACACCTGCTCCAACAGCTGAAGCAACAACCACACCTGCCCTGACAACAACTGAAGCAACAACACCTGCTCCAACAACGACACCTCCCGCGACGACAACTGAAGCAACAATGACATCTTCCCCAACAACCGAAGCAACGACACCTACTCCAACAACTGAGGTGACAACGACACCTGCTCCAACAACTGAGGCAACGACAACTGTTCCCACAACAACTGCATCAACAACTGAAGCCACAGCACCTGCTCCAACAACGACAACTATCACCACAACAACTGAAGCAACGACATATCCAACAACTCAGGGAACAACAAGTGTCCTGACAACAACAGCATCAACAACGACACCTGCCCCGACAACAACTGAAGCAATGACGACAACTGTCCCAACAACAACTGAAGCAACGACAATTGTCCCGACAACAACTGAAGCAACGACGACACCTGCTCCACCAACTGAGGCAACGACACCTGCTCCAACAGCTACGCCAACGACACCTACTCCAACAACTGCAGAAACAACGACATCTGCTCCAACAACTCAAGCAACAATGACACCTGCTCCAACAGCTGAAGCAACAACCACACCTGCTCTGACAACAACGGAAGCAATAACGCAATCTTCTCCAACAGCTGCTCCAACAGCTACGCCAACGACATCTACTCCAACAACTGCAGCAACGACGACTGCCCCAACAACAACTGAAGCAACAACACCTGCTCAAACAACGACAACTGTCCCCACAACAACTGAAGCAACGACACCTACTCCAACAACTGCTTCAAAAACGACACCTGCCCCAACAACAACTGAAGTAACGACATCTTCCCCAACAATTGAAGCAACAACGACACCTGCTCCAACAGCTGAAGCAACAACCACACCTGCCCTGACAACAACTGAAGCAACAACGACATCTTCTCCATCAACCGAAGCAACGGCACCTGCCCCGACAACAACTGTAGCAACAACACCTGCTCCAACAACGACACCTCCCGCGATAACAACTGAAGCAACGACGACATCTCCAACAACTGAAGCAACACTAGCTCCAACAAAGACACCTGCCGCGACAACAACTGAAGCAACAACAACATCTTCCCCAACAACTGAAGCAACGACACCTACTCCAACAACTGAGGTGACAACGACACCTGCTCCAACAACTGAGGCAACGACAGCTGTTCCCACAACAATTGCATCAACAACTGAAGCCACAGCACCTGCTCCAACAACGACAACTGTGACCACAACAACTGAAGCAACAACGACATATCCAACAACTCAGGGAACAACAAGTGTCCTGACAACAACTGAAGCAACAACACCTGCTCCAACAACGACACCTCCCGCGACGACAACTGAAGCAACAATGACATCTTCCCCAACAACCGAAGCAACGACACCTACTCCAACAACTGAGGTGACAACGACACCTGCTCCAACAACTGAGGCAACGACAACTGTTCCCACAACAACTGCATCAACAACTGAAGCCACAGCACCTGCTCCAACAACGACAACTGTCACCACAACAACTGAAGCAACAACGACATATCCAACAACTCAGGGAACAACAAGTGTCCTGACAACAACAGCATCAACAACGACACCTGTCCCGACAACAACTGAAGCAATGACGACAACTGTCCCGACAACAACTGAAGCAATGACAATTGTCCCGACAACAACTGAAGCAACGACGACACCTGCTCCACCAACTGAGGCAACGACACCTGCTCCAACAGCTACGGAAACGACACCTACTCCAACAACTGCAGAAAGAACGACATCTACCCCAACAACAACTGAAGCAACAACGACACCTGTTCAAACAACTCAAGCAACAACGACACCTACTCCAACAACTGTTTCAACAACGACACCTGCCGCGACAACAACTGAAGCAACAACGACATCTTCCCCAACAATTGAAGCAACAACAACACCTGCTCCAACAACGACAACAGTCCCCACAACAACTGAAGCAACGACACCTACTCCAACAACTGCAGAAACAACGACATCTACCCCAACAACAACTAAAGCAACAACAACACCTGCTCCAACAACGACAACAGTCCCCACAACAACTGAAGCAACGACACCTACTCCAACAGCTGAAACAACAACCACACCTGCCCTGACAACAACTGAAGCAATAATGACATCTTCTCCAACAACCGAAGCAACGACACCTGCCCCGACAACAAGTAAAGCAACAACACCTGCTCCAACAACGACACCTGCCCCGACAAGAACTGAAGCAACGACAACTGTTCCCACAACAACTGAAACAACACCTGCTCCAACGACAACTGTCCCCACAACAACTGAAGCAGCGACACCTACTCCAACAACTGTTTCAACAACGACACCTGCCGCGACAACAACTGAAGCAACAACGACATCTTCCCCAACAATTGAAGCAACAACGACACCTGCTCCAACAATGACAACAGTCCCCACAACAACTGAAGCAACGACACCTACTCCAACACCTGAGGCGACAACGACACCTGTTCCAACACCTGAGGCAATAACCACACCTGCCCGGACAACTGAAGCAACAATGACATCTCCAACAACTGAAGCAATGGCGACAACTGCCCCGACAACAACTGCAGCAACGACGACTGCCCCTACAACAACTGAAGCAACAATGACACCTGCTCAAACACCTGCTCCAACAGCTACGGCAACGACACTTACTCCAACAACTGCAGAAACAACGACATCTACCCCAACAACAACTGTTTCAACAACGACACCTGCCGCGACAACAACTGAAGAAACAACGACATCTTCCCCAACAATTGAAGCAACAACAACACCTGCTCCAACAACGACAACAGTCCCCACCACAACGGAAGCAACGACACCTACTCCAACAACTGCAGAAACAACGACATCTACCCCAACAACAACTGAAGCAACAACGACACCTGCTCAAACAACTCAACCAACAACGACACCTGCTCCAACAGCTGAAGCAACAACCACACCTGCCCTGACAACAACTGAAGCAATAATGACATCTTCTCCAACAACCGAAGCAACGACACCTGCCCCGACAACAAGTAAAGCAACAACACCTGCTCCAACAACGACACCTGCCCCGACAAGAACTGAAGAAATGACAACTGTTCCCACAACAACTGAAGCAACACCTGCTCCAACGACAACTGTCCCCACAACAACTGAAGCAGCGACACCTACTCCAACAACTGTTTCAACAACGACACCTGCCGCGACAACAACTGAAGCAACAATGACATCTTCCCCAATAATTGAAACAACAACGACACCTGCTCCAACAATGACAACAGTCCCCACAACAACTGAAGCAACGACACCTACTCCAACACCTGAGGCGACAACGACACCTGTTCCAACACCTGAGGCAATAACGACACCTGCCCGGACAACTGAAGCAACAATGACATCTCCAACAACTGAAGCAATGGCGACAACTGCCCCGACAACAACCGCAGCAACGACGACTGCCCCTACAACAACTGAAGCAACAATGACACCTGCTCAAACACCTGCTCCAACAGCTATGGCAACGACACTTACTCCAACAACTGCAGAAACGACATCTACCCCAACAACAACTGAAGCAACAACCACACCTGCCCTGACAACAACTGAAACAATAACGACATCTTCCCCAACAATTGAAGCAACAACAACACCTGCTCCAACAACGACAACAGTCCCCACAACAACTGAAGCAACGACACCTACTCCAACAACTGCAGAAACAACGACATCTACCCCAACAACAACTGAAGCAACAACGACACCTGCTCAAACAACTCAAGCAACAACGACACCTGCTCCAACAGCTGAAGCAACAACCACACCTGCCCTGACAACTGAAGCAACAATGACATCTCCAACAACTGAAGCAATGACACCTGCCCCGACAACAAGCAAAGCAACAACACCTGCTCCAACAACGACACCTGCCCCGACAAGAACTGAAGCAACGACAACTGTTCCCACAACAACTGAAACAACACCTGCTCCAACGACAACTGTCCCCACAACAACTGAAGCAGCGACACCTACTCCAACAACTGTTTCAACAACGACACCTGCCGCGACAACAACTGAAGCAACAACGACATCTTCCCTAGCAATTGAAGCAACAACAACACCTGCTCCAACAACGACAACAGTCCCTACAACAACTGAAGCAACGACACCTATTCCAACACCTGAGGCGACAACGACACCTGTTCCAACACCTGAGGCAATAACGACATCTTCTCCAACAACCGAAGCAACGACACCTGCCCCGACAACAACCGAAGCAACAACACCTGCTCCAACACCGACACCTGCCCCGACAAGAACTGAAGAAACGACAACTGTTCCCACAACAACTGAAGCAACACCTGCTCCAACGACAACTGTCCCCACAACAACTGAAGCAACGACACCTACTCCAACAACTGTTTCAACAACGACACCTGCCGTGACAACAACCGAAGCAACAACGACATCTTCCCCAACAATTGAAGCAACAACAACACCTGCTCCAACAACGACAACAGTCCCCACAACAACTGAAGCAACGACACCTACTCCAACACCTGAGGCGACAATGACACCTGTTCCAACAGCTCAAGCAACAACCACACCTGCCCTGACAACAACTGAAGCAATAACGACATCTTCTCCAACACCTACTCCAACAGCTACGCCAACGGCATCTACTCCAACAACTGCAGCAACGACGACTGCCCCAACAACAACTGAAGCAACGACACCTGCTCAAACAACGACAACTGTCCCCACAACAACTGAAGCAACGACACCTACTCCAAAAACTGCTTCAAACACGACACTTGCCCCAACAACTGAAGTAACAACGACATCTTCCCCAACAATTGAAGCAACAACGACACCTGCTCCAACAGCTGAAGCAACAACCACACCTGCCCTGACAACAACTGAAGCAACACGACATCTTCTCCATCAACCGAAGCAACGACACCTGCCCCGACAACAACTGAAGCAACAACACCTGCTCCAACAACGACACCTCCCGCGACAACAACTGAAGTAACAACGACATCTTCCCCAACAACTGAAGCAACGACACCTACTGAAAAACTGAGGTGACAATGACACCTGTTCCAACACCTGAGGCAACAACCACACCTGCCCGGACAACAACTGAAGCAACAATGACATCTCCAACAACTGAAGCAACACTTGCTCCAACAACGACACCTGCCGCGACAACAACTGAAGCAACAACGACATCTTCCCCAACAACTGAAGCAACGACACCTGCTCCAACAACTGAGGTGACAACGACACCTGCTCCAACAACTGAGGCAACGACAACTGTTCCCACAACAATTGCATCAACAACTGAAGCCACAGCACCTGCTCCAACAACGACAACTGTCACCACAACAACTGAAGCAACAACGACATATCCAACAACTCAGGGAACAACAAGTGTCCTGACAACAACAGCATCAACGACACCTGCCCCGACAACAACTGAAGCAATGACGACAACTGCCCCGACAGCAACTGAAGCAATGACAATTGCCCCGACAACAACTGAAGCAACGACAATTGCCCCGACAACAACTGAAGCAACGACGACACCTGCTCCCCCAACTGAGGCAACGACACCTACTCCAACACCTGCTCCAACAGCTACTGAAGCAACAACGACACCTGCTCAAACAACTCAAGCAACAACGAGACCTGCTCCACCAACTGAAGCAACAACACCTGCTCCAACAGCTACGGCAACGACACCTACTCCAACAACTGCAGAAACAATGACATCTACCCCAACAACAACTGAAGCAACAACGACACCTGCTCAAACAACTCAACCAACAACGACACCTGCTCCAACAGCTGAAGCAACAACCACACCTGCCCTGAAAACAACTGAAACAATAATGACATCTTCTTCAACAACCGAAGCAACGACACCTTCCCCGACAACAACTGAAGCAAACACACCTGCTCCAACAACGACAACTGCCCCGACAAGAACTGAAGCAACGACAACTGTTCCCACAACAACTGAAGCAACACATGCTCCAACGACAACTGTACACACAACAACTGAAGCAACGACACCTACTCCAACACCTGAGGCGACAACGACACCTGCCGCGACAACAACTGAAGCAACAATGACATCTTCCCCAATAATTGAAACAACAACGACACCTGCTCCAACAATGACAACAGTCCCCACAACAACTGAAGCAGCGACACCTACTCCAACAACTGTTTCAACAACGACACCTGCCGCGACAACAACTGAAGCAACAATGACATCTTCCCCAATAATTGAAACAACAACGACACCTGCTCCAACAATGACAACAGTCCCCACAACAACTGAAGCAACGACACCTACTCCAACACCTGAGGCGACAACGACACCTGTTCCAACACCTGAGGCAATAACGACATCTTCTCCAACAACCGAAGCAACGACACCTGCCCCGACAACAACCGAAGCAACAACACCTGCTCCAACAACGACACCTGCCCCGACAAGAACTGAAGAAACGACAACTGTTCCCACAACAACTGAAGCAACACCTGCTCCAACGACAACTGTCCCCACAACAACTGAAGCAACGACACCTACTCCAACAACTGTTTCAACAACGACACCTGCCGTGACAACAACCGAAGCAACAACGACATCTTCCCCAACAATTGAAGCAACAACAACACCTGCTCCAACAACGACAACAGTCCCCACAACAACTGAAGCAACGACACCTACTCCAACACCTGAGGCGACAATGACACCTGTTCCAACAGCTCAAGCAACAACCACACCTGCCCTGACAACAACTGAAGCAATAACGACATCTTCTCCAACACCTACTCCAACAGCTACGCCAACGGCATCTACTCCAACAACTGCAGCAACGACGACTGCCCCAACAACAACTGAAGCAACGACACCTGCTCAAACAACGACAACTGTCCCCACAACAACTGAAGCAACGACACCTACTCCAACAACTGCTTCAAACACGACACCTGCCCCAACAACTGAAGTAACAACGACATCTTCCCCAACAATTGAAGCAACAACGACACCTGCTCCAACAGCTGAAGCAACAACCACACCTGCCCTGACAACAACTGAATCAACAACGACATCTTCTCCATCAACCGAAGCAACGACACCTGCCCCGACAACAACTGAAGCAACAACACCTGCTCCAACAACGACACCTCCCGCGACAACAACTGAAGTAACAACGACATCTTCCCCAACAACTGAAGCAACGACACCTACTGAAAAAACTGAGGTGACAATGACACCTGTTCCAACACCTGAGGCAACAACCACACCTGCCCGGACAACAACTGAAGCAACAATGACATCTCCAACAACTGAAGCAACACCTGCTCCAACAACGACAACTGTCACCACAACAACTGAAGCAACAACGACATATCCAACAACTCAGGGAACAACAAGTGTCCTGACAACAACAGCATCAACGACACCTGCCCCGACAACAACTGAAGCAATGACGACAACTGCCCCGACAGCAACTGAAGCAACGACAATTGCCCCGACAACAACTGAAGCAACGACGACACCTGCTCCCCCAACTGAGGCAACGACACCTACTCCAACACCTGCTCCAACAGCTACTGAAGCAACAACGACACCTGCTCAAACAACTCAAGCAACAACGAGACCTGCTCCACCAACTGAAGCAACAACACCTGCTCCAACAGCTACGGCAACGACACCTACTCCAACAACTGCAGAAACAATGACATCTACCCCAACAACAACTGAAGCAACAACGACACCTGCTCAAACAACTCAACCAACAACGACACCTGCACCAACAGCTGAAGCAACAACCACACCTGCCCTGACAACAACTGAAACAATAATGACATCTTCTCCAACAACCGAAGCAACAACACCTGCCCCGACAACAACCGGAGCAACACCACCTGCTCCAACAACGACACCTGACCCGACAAGAACTGAAGCAACGACACCTACTCCAACAACTGAGGTGACAACGACACCTGCTCCAACAACTGAGGCAACGACAACTGTTCCCACAACAATTGCATCAACAACTGAAGCCACAGCACCTGCTCCAACAACGACAACTGTCACCACAACAACTGAAGCAACAACGACATATCCAACAACTCAGGGAACAACAAGTGTCCTGACAACAACAGCATCAACGACACCTGCCCCGACAACAACTGAAGCAATGACGACAACTGCCCCGACAGCAACTGAAGCAATGACAATTGCCCCGACAACAACTGAAGCAACGACGACACCTGCTCCCCCAACTGAGGCAACGACACCTGCTCCAACACTTGCTCCAACAGCTACTGAAGCAACAACGACACCTGCTCAAACAACTCAATCAACAACGAGACCTGCTCCACCAACTGAAGGAACAACACCTGCTCCAACAGCTACGGCAACGACACCTACTCCAACAACTGCAGAAACAATGACATCTACCCCAACAACAACTGAAGCAACAACGACACCTGCTCAAACAACTCAACCAACAACGACACCTGCTCCAACAGCTGAAGCAACAACCACACCTGCCCTGAAAACAACTGAAACCATAATGACATCTCCTTCAACAACCGAAGCAACGACACCTTCCCCGACAACAACCGAAGCAACAACACCTGCTCCAACAACGACACCTGCCCCGACAAGAACTGAAGCAACGACAACTGTTCCCACAACAACTGAAGCAACACCTGCTCCAACGACAACTGTCCCCACAACAACTGAAGCAACGACACCTACTCCAACAACTGCAGAAACAACAACATCTACCCCAACAACAAGTGAAGCAACAATGACATCTCCAACAACTGAAGCAATGGCGACAACTGCCCCGACAACAACTGCAGCAACGACGACTGCCCCTACAACAACTGACGCAACAATGACACCTGCTCAAACAACTCAAGCAACAACGACACCTGCTCCACCAACTGAAGCAACAACACCTGCTCCAACAGCTACGGCAACGACACCTACTCCAACAACTGCAGAAACAACGACATCTACCCCAACAACAAGTGAAGCAACAACGACACCTGCCCAAACAACTCAGGCAACAACGACACCTGCTCCAACAGCTGAAGCAACAACCACACCTGCCCTGACAACAACTGAAGCAATAATGACATCTTCTCCAACAACCGAAGCAACGACACCTCCCCCGACAACAACCGAAGCAACAACAACTGTTCCCACAACAACTGAAGCAACGACACCTACTCCAACAACTGTTTCAACAACGACACCTGCCGCGACAACAACTGAAGCAACAACGACATCTTCCCCAACAGCTGACGCAACAACAACTGAGGAAACAACTGTCCTGACAATAACTGCAACAACGACAGCTGCCCCAACAAGCACGACAACTACTCCAACAACTGACGCAACAACGATACCTGCCCCGACAACAACTGAACCAACGATCCCTGCCCCGACAACAACTGAAGGCACGACACCTGCTACAACAACTGAGGTAACAACAACTGTCCTTACAACAACTGCATCAACAACGACACCTGCTCTAACAACTGAATCAACAACGACACCTCCTCCAACTAATGAAGCAAAGGCACCTTCTCCAACGACTGCACCAACAACGACACCTCCCCCGACAACAACTGCATCAACAATGACACCTGCTCCAACAACTGAGGCAACAACAAATGTCCCGACAACAACTGCATCAACAACGACACCTGCTCCAACAACTGAGGCAACAACAAATGTCCCGACAACAACTGCATCAACAACGACACCTGCTCTAACAAATGAAGCAAAGGCACCTTCTCCAACGACTGCACCAACAACGACACCTGCCCCGACAACAACTGAAACAACAACGGCAGCTGCTCAAACAACTGAAGCAACAACAACTGCACCAACAACAACACGTGCTTCAACAACTGAGGAAACAACAAGTGTCCTGACAACAACTGCATCAACAACGACACTTGCCCCGACAACAACTGAAGCAACAACCACACCAATCCCGACAACAACTCAAGCAACAACAACACCTGCCGCAACAACGACTGAAGCAACAACGACACCTTCCCCGACAACAACTGACGCAACAACGGCAGCTGCTCAAACAACGACAACTGTCCCCACAACAACTGAAGCAACGACACCTGCTCCAAACACTGAGGCAACAACAACTGTTCCCACAACAACTGCATCAACAACTGAAGCAACAACACCTACTCCAACAACGACAACTGTCCCCACAACAACTGAAGCAACGACACCTACTCCAACAACTGAGGCGACAACGACATCTACCCCAACAACAACTGAAGCAACAACGACACCTGCTCAAACAACTCAAGCAACAACGACACCTGCTCCAACAGCTGAAGCAACAACCACACCAATCCCGACAACAACTCAAGCAACAACACCTGCCGCAACAACGACTGAAGCAACAACGACACCTTCCCCGACAACAACTGAAACAACAACGGCAGCTGCTCAAACAACGACAACTGTCCCCACAACAACTGAAGCAACGACACCTGCTCCAAACACTGAGGCAACAACAACTGTTCCCACAACAACTACATCAACAACTGAAGCAACAACACCTACTCCAACAACGACAACTGTCCCCACAACAACTGAAGCAACGACACCTACTCCAACAACTGAGGCGACAACGACATCTACCCCAACAACAACTGAAGCAACAACGACACCTGCTCAAACAACTCAAGCAACAACGACACCTGCTCCAACAGCTGAAGCAAAGGCACCTTCTCCAACGACTGCACCAACAACGACACCTGCCCCGACAACAACTGCAGAAACAATGACACCTGCTCCAACAACTGAAGCAACAACAACTGCACCAACAACAACACGTGCTTCAACAACTGAGGAAACAACAAGTGTCCTGACAACAACTGCATCAACAACGACACTTGCCCCGACAACAACTGAAGCAACAAACACACCAATCCCGACAACAACTCAAGCAACAACAAATCCTGCCGCAACAACGACTGAAGCAACAACGACACCTTCCCCGACAACAACTGACGCAACAACGGCAGCTGCTCAAACAACAACTGTCCCCACAACAACTGAAGCAACGACACCTGCTCCAAACACTGAGGCAACAACAAGTGTTCCCACAACAACTGCATCAACAACTGAAGCAACAACACCTACTCCAACAACGACAACTGTCCCCACAACAACTGAAGCAACGACACCTACTCCAACAACTGAGGCGACAACGACATCTACCCCAACAACAACTGA